AACTGAAGTTAATAAACAAAGTGGTTTAACGATATCCATATGTACAGTATGTATTCAACTGGACTCCTGGGCTTCATGATAGATTACAGGAACATGTTTGCAGAAGTTATGAGAACTTTGGGACACTGGATTTTTGACAAAATGTTCATGATTTTAAAGCATGCGACTGTTCGTCTAAGTTGTATATATAACTCTTGAAAAAATTGTCTTTCAATTGAAGTTATATTCTCTAGTTACCAGTCTTGTTCTATTTATTCAGAAATAAGTTTCGAAACCTGTTTCTTCATCTGTGTCACCTCAATCATTAACACACACACACATAATACCAATAAGAATCACCTGTGGATATAAATAAGAAAACACTAAAATATCAGACTATTCTATTTACATGTGTGTGTAGTACGAGAAACACATAAAACTATCCGGTATCCAATGGTCTTATGTCACGTACGATATGATTACCTGTACAAATAACGTACCATGGGAGGGAGGGGATGTTTGGGAGTAATAGGTTTTACAGCTACATTATATGTTACCTTCCCCCTGATGGTAGCATTAGGTTTAGGACTAAAATGATAACACTACATAAAATTTAACGAGTTCACTTGCATGTGTAACATTTGTTTTTGATCTCTTTTTCTTTTTTACTAACCTATTATAAATGCTTGCTCTGTTTCTGTTGAATACATATGGATATTGTTAAACCAATTTGTTATATTAACTTCAGTTGAATACATACTGTACATATGGATATCGTTAAACCACTTTGTTTATTAACTTCAGTTGTTCTACTATCCTATGAGGTATAACTCTTAGATACAAAGATACATACCAGTTTAATGTAACCACTAACATCTAGAAGAAGGTTCTCTGGCTTAAGATCTCTGTAAGGTCTCACACACAAGGAGTCCACATCCTATGAGGAATAACTCTTATATACGAAGATACATACCAGTTTAATGTAACCACTAACATCTAGAAGAAGGTTCTCTGGCTTAAGATCTCTGTAAGGTCTCACACACTTAGCCCATCGTATAGCTAGCCTTGTGCATAATAACAAACAAACTTTTGTTATTATATAAACACTGAACTATTTTTTTTTATAATTCAGTTATGAAATTTGTAATATTTATTTTAAAGTACTTCGCTATGAATAAAGATAAAAAATGTAACAAATATAGGAAACCTATTTTTGTATTATAGAATATTCCGGACTTTCAAGGATTGTAAATATCTCTACATGCTGATGGAGTCGTGTTTGGGAGGTGAACTGTGGACAATTTTACGAGATAAGTAGGTTATCACTTTCAAATTAAAACATGCATTTTTTGAGTTTGAATTTTACACCTTTTCGTCAACAGCATATTGTTATTATAACCATCTGTTGAAAAAGTTTATTTTTTCAATTGTAATAATATTCTCTAGTTACCAGTCTTGTTTTATTAATGAATATTTCTTTATTTATATGGCAATAAGTTTCAAAATCTATTTGTTCATCTATTTAACCTCAGTTATTGACTAATTTCATTTAGCACCTATGTGTTTTTTGTACTACACGTGTATTTATTTAAAGGAATAGCACCTATGTGTTTTTTGTATTACACGTGTATTTATTTAAAGAAAGTAGATTAAGTTGAAACAAGTGTATTAACATGAACATTCGAGCATTTATTTCCTTCTAGGGGGAACTTTGATGACCTGACAACAAGGTTTTACACTGCCTGTGTGATCAAAGCTTTTGACTATCTTCACTCTCGTCACATCGTCTACAGAGATCTTAAGCCAGAGAACCTTCTTCTAGATGTTAGTGGTTACATTAAACTGGTATGTATCTTCGTATATAAGGGTTATTCCTCATAGGATGTGGACTTCTTGTGTGTGAAACTATTATCAAGGCTAGCTATACGATGGGCTAACAAGGCTAGCTATACGATGGGCTATTTGTTTGTTATTACGCACAAGGCTAGCTATATGATGGGCTATTTGTTTTGTGCCCACTGTTA